TTTCTTTCTTTCTTTCTTTCCTTCCTTCCTTCCTTCCTTCCTTCCTTCTTTCTTTCTTTCTTTCTTTCTTTCTTTCTTTCTTTCTTTCTTTTTTTTTCTTTCGTTTTTGGGAAACCAAGGATTGAACTCAGGCCCTTGTGCTTGCCAAGGAAGTGCTTATCCTACTGAGCCATCTCCCCAGCCCCTATCATTTCTTTCTTTCTTTCTTTCTTTCTTTCTTTCTTTCTTTCTTTCTTTCTTTCTTTCTCTTTTTTTCTTTTTGTTTTACTTTGGAGATTATTTTTGATCTGATTTCCTCAATCTGCAGTTGTTTCTTTACCTCAGACACTATTATTTCAGAGATTTCAGATGTGTAGTTTCCAATTTCTTCTTTGTTATTGTTTCCTGCATTTGTTCTGGGTGGGCTCAGGGCCTGAGAATGCATTTTTCACCTTCTCTTTATCATTTTGTATAGCACTGTCTTCTGGCTTTTGGTGTAGAGCTTAGATAGAGTTATTACCTTAGCATCAGGTCCAGATCTACCAAGATCAAACTCATCCAGGTGGGTGTAGCTTTGGTCTGGCTGCTGTGCTCCACTTTTCCTGCTGCATCCCTTAGGAGTGAACCCTCTGTGCCACTCTGGGAAGACATTCTTCTCCTGGATCAGCTGGGTGGGTCTTGCCTCTAGTCTCTCTGCAGGGAGTTGTGCCACAGGGTTCCACACCCAACCTTTCAGATGGAGGAAGTTTCTGATCTCGGTTCTGGCCTGGAGTCAGGATCTGGAGGGTCCTGTGTGGTCCCTCTCACACCCTGGGTCTGGGTGCTGGCTGGAATGAGGATGTGGAAGGCTCTTTATAGCTTTTTTTAAATTAAATTGTATTGAATCCATTTGATCTTCTTGTGTAAGATATTGATCCATTTCCTCAGGTTTGGAGATCTTTCTGGCATTAACTTTTATGTGAGGTTTTCTCCCTGTCTGATGTATAGGATGTCTCTCTCTTTACACTGTGAAGTTTGGAATGGGGGAAGGTAACACATGTAATAAGTGACTGCCCATCTAATTTTTATGTTTTGTCAATTTCTTATTTACATGAGGTACAGAGGTGTTGTAATAAGTCTTACAGTTTCCCTAATTTTTTTTTTCAGGAACTGGAGATTTGACTCAAATCCTTGTGCTTGTCAGGGAAGTGCTTATTTTACTGAGCCATCCCCTGGCCTCATAGTTTCCTGACATTTTTAAAAGGATGTTCCTGGATGGATTATTGTGAAAATAGATGATTCAGTGTGGCACAGTAATTGAATTTCTTGTTCTGTTAAATTTGCTGATATTCTAGTCAAGAGGTTTGGTTTTTAAAAATATTTCTGTAGTACCAGATAACTAATACAATGAAGAACAAACCAGATGTCTACCACTCCAAAATACTAGACAACATTGTGTTTTTTTAACTTAAAAATAGCATGCCAGTGAGTTTTCAACACTATAATTTGATAGGTTGAACATCATCACTGAATACATGTACATTTCCTAACCTAAAATAATGCCTCTCCTACATACAGAAGAATGGTCACTTGAAAACTTTGCCTCTAGGTCAGAAATAAATTAAGCTATTTATTTCTTGGTTGAATGTATTGAGTATTATTATTATAATTTTAATGTATTTGATACAGGCTTTTACAATGCAGCTAAGACTTGTAGTTACTGTCTTGTTGCCAGCCTCACCAGCGCTGTGATTACAGGCACGTGCCACTCCACTGGGACCTGGTTACAGACTCAGAGCACCTGGAAGAAGGGCTGGTGGGGATAGAACCCAGGCCCTGCACGTGCCTAAGCAGACACGTAGTCCACTGAGCTATCTTGCCAGTCCTGAAAATTTTATTATGTATGTGGGAGATAGAGTACATTTTCTTTTCTTTTGCTTATATTTGTTCCATTTCTTGTGCATCAAAAATTAACACAAACTGAAGATGTTGCATTCATTCCCATGAGTATTTTCTATATTGTGCACAGTGGGTCACATTTTCATAAAGATTTAGTAAACAGCTACTTATTCATTTATTTATTGTGCAGACCTTTATTGAGTTTGTAATTCTTGTAAGGAAATAATTACACACTCAAAAATCACAAATGAACAAAATGTTCATTTATTATTGAATAGCTTTCCCATAATTTTTCTCTAACACAGGCAGAGAAAAATAAAATGAAGTGATTTTAAACTGATGTACTGTAGTCAGATTTTGGTAGACTTCTCAGGTGAGGCAACATATTTGCTTGATAAAGGAGACTGAATAGGAAATTTTCTAAGAGATACACTTCTACAAAGATTTATGATTCATTTTCTTCACCAGAATATTTGGGGCTCATTTTCAGTGGCTGTATCCTTGTCACTCTACATTTTCTCCTTAATTTATCTAAGATAAAGTTTACATAGTCTCCTTGCTTTTACTGTCCTCATGTACACTGTCTCCATGTTTTCTTCACTCTTACCAAGTGTTGTACAATGCTGATTTGTAAGTTCACTGCAAAGTGAAGTAAAGACTTTAGATATAGCAACAGTGCTATCACTGTGGAAATTTGGGAGCTGTAAGTTCAAGGACTGGAGAGAGCACATACTCTCTGACCACCACATTCTGTTTTGAAAATGACTCAGTGTGGAGGAGGCCAAGTCTGTTTGAAAGTGGCACAGCAAGGTTGTACAGGCTACAGCATCTTCTCTGTGTAGAGAGAATTTCCAGTCTTTCCAAAGGCTGAGTTAATAGAAAGTTGAGCTGCTTATTCTCCAGCCCTTATATTCTCAGATGGTTTATATATAGTAAAAGAAACAGAAAAATAGTTAATAAACAAAACATTCATCCAATCATTTTATCAATTAAAATTCAGTATCTCTTTCAAAAAATCACAATGCAGTACCAGAATCATTCAACAAATAAAGATGATAAAAGTAAACTAACATGTCATTTTCATGTTTAGAAAACACTTTCCTTGATCTGGGAGAATATACCCCACATTCTTAATTTATTTGACTCACAGTGTGCAAGGGTTTCCTTGAATATTGCCAACTCTAGGGCAAAAATGACTGAACAGAAGGTTACCGTGGAACACAACTGTTTGTCCCACATTAGACAACAAGGAGAGGGAAGAGACATGGAGATGACTTTAGTATAAAACCTTCCAGGTTGCAGCATGAGTGATCCATCTCCTAAGAGCTCATCCAGATTCTGACATTCACAGGTGGTGATTCCGCTGGTAAACATGTTACCTTATGATAGCTCACCTGCCAAACATGTGTGATTGGGGGCCTTATTGTAGATTTGAACCACAATATCATGTATAAAAACAACAAAAGAGAAGCTATTAAACTGTTTAATAAATATCCACTGAAAACCATCATTAAAGTGCAAATGCCTGAAGGCTTGTTATTAAAAATTATCACTTATTTACCTTATTTCATCTTAACTGAAGTTTTCATATTTTTACTTTCTGTGGACTGGTATTAAAATGCCTCTCTTTGTAACTTCAAAAATAAGATAAAAATACTGAGGAAATTTATGTATAAGCCTTAAGAAAACAATTTCTCTCTTCTTTTCTATGTCTAGGAGAAAGGAAATTAGTACAGATCTATAATACCACATTCATTTCTTATTGGAAGACACTTATTGCCTTCCTATTTCTACAACAAAGGTTTCACAAGAGAAACTTTTCAAAATCACCTGAAGCAATTTTTAAGAACAAGCAAATTTCTGGGTCCAGACCTAGACTACAGAATCAGTAGGTCTGGGCAGGGCTAAGAACATGCACATTTAGCAAGTTGCCAGGAGATGAAATGTTTCTGGCCAGGTATACATGAGCCCACATAGGAATGAGGGTGAAGCTGCTGTAATGGAGGTACACACAACAAAGTTTCTGAGCTAGGTTTTTACACTAGAGAATATGTTTCCCTGTAATGTTCTGTACAAAAGGTAATATTTGTCACAATGGCCACAAGTCCAGCTTGGTTATAGGACAGAACATGGACTGTTTTTTGTTAAGTAGTCCCCTCTACAAGCAGATCAGTTGATTTGATGAGTGATGTGAGTGCATTTCTCATGACGCTGGATGAGAGGAAAGAGAAAGGCATTATCTGCTGTAATTCTCAAAGAGAATAGATACCTCCTCACTGAAGTACTTTTTCTGTTGCTCTATTACTGCATGTTATTTGTCGTAATGTTTCTATAATTACATTGTGTCTTTAACCACAAGCACAGAACATGGACTATTTCATAATAGTCTATGCTTATCATTGTTTCCTTAACACCATGTACAGTATTATGTTTTATTTGTATCTTGTCCTCACTTGGATTTCAAATTTAGTATCTAAGATAACATCTTATTTAGAAAATGTTTTCAAAATTGGTGAGCTCCTGTTAATAGGCATTGAAGAAAGGCAATGATTAACTATCTCTAAGGAAAATTAAACTTTTCTTACATAGTCTACATATTGGTGTATTTTCCATCTAACTCACAGCTTTGTTGACCGCATCTCTATCACCAGTATTCTCTTCACTGCCGTCTTCACATCTTTGTTTCTTAGAGTGTAGATTAAAGGGTTAAGGCTGGGTGTGATGATTGTATAAAAGAGTGTAAAGAACTTTCCTTCCTCCTCAGATATGCCACTCTGTGGTGTCATGTACATGTAAATAGCTGGCACAAAAAACAGAACTACTACTGTAAGGTGAGAGCCACAGGTATTGAGGACCTTTCTCCACCGTGCTGTTGACTGCATCTGAATGACAGTTTGAATGATGATGCCATAGGATATGAAAATCAGTGACACAGGGGATAGAAGTAATACAACTCCAAAAACCAAGATAACAATCTGAATTACTCTTGTGTTAACACAAGCCAATTTCATTAATGCTGGTGTCTCACAAATAAAATTGTCCACTACACGGTGCCCACATCTTGGCAATGTGAAAATCAAGGAGCAGACAGTTATGGCACTGCCAAGACCACCCAGCCAGCAGGTCATCACCATCTTCTGGCAAAGCTGAGGATGCATTATGACTGTGTACTGCAGAGGCTGGCAGACAGCAGCATAGCGGTCATAGGCCATCACTGTCAAGAGCAGAGTTTCTGTGGCTGCGAAGACCAGGGCAAAGAAAAACTGGAGCACGCACCCTGCATAGGTAATGGCCTTGTTTGAACCCCATAGATTTGCCAGCATCTGCGGGATAATGGAGTTTGTATAACCCAGCTCCAAAATTGACAGATTAGATAAGAAGAAGTACATAGGGGTGTGGAGGTGGGGGTCTAAATAGGATATAATGATGATGGCTGAGTTTCCTACCAGAGTTACCACGTAGCAGATGAAGACAAACACAGAGATGACACGCTCCAGTTGCGGTCGATCAGAAAACCCCAGAAGGATGAAGTCTGTTTGCAAACTTCTGTTGCTTTTTTCCATTGCTACCTAAGAAATGCTAGGAATCTAAAGCACAGTAATCAAAATTAATGGCAGCCTTAATTAGGCTAAATATCATCAACATTGTATATTTTCATGGGCATCCAATCTCAGTACATCATTTCATATATTACATGTAAACAAATGCCACTTTTCCTTTGGAACATTAACATTTACGTTTAATTATTGCATGTTTTACCATATCCATGATGATTCTAATATCATACTCTAAACTCTAACATACTACAGCATAAATCATGGTTAATATTCTAAGCCACCCAAGGTTCCATGTCCTTGCTGTAAGTAATGAGTTCTCAAGTTAGCCATAATGTTTTTCACAATGAATGCATTTTGAGACGTTTGTGTCTGAGTCGTCTGCCTGACCCCTGTTAAGACATAAGCATAAGGTTGTGGTTCAACTTTTCTTTATGAATGGAGATGATTTTGAGGTTAAAACTAGTGCAATTTATTTTCCAGGAGCAGCACCACGTTCACTGTGGAGCCATCATCATGATGGTCACACACCTTCTCCATCCATTTATTTTCCTTATTGACATTGCAGGGATTGAAGTTATTGCATCACTTTGGGGGCTCCCAACAATCTTCACGTATTTGTGGAACTACTTTTTTGATTGCTAGGAAATAAAACTCTTTCAAATTATTAGCATTTTTCTCCCAGTGCCAAGTCACTTTTCTGCAATAAATTTAAGGACTAACACTGCACATTTATGTACCATCATCTGCTTGTTGCAGAGCAAAATGTGGAACCAGTTTCTAATATGTGGGCACCACACACAGTGATACCACCTTGTGTCTCTTATTCAGCGAGCTGTTGTGCAGATTCAGGCAAGCGGTTTTTTCAATGCCACCCTTGACCTGATTTCAGTGAGCTGTCTGTCCCCATGGATTTGCTACTTACACAAGCACATCTTCTCTCTGGCTTCTAGACTTGTCTATAAAGCCAACCTCATTTTGAGGATAAAGATACAGACAAGGTATAAACATTTCACTCACCTGACCAATCCTGATTGTGGTATCAAATCATTAAGTTAGATGTTTTAAAATTATTACTAGATTTTGTTTTTTTCCTTGTACATAATTCTCCACCACAAATTTCAAATGTTATATCTGTACAGTACCATTTTGTCTATGTGCTATTAAGGAATAATCTGATTATTGAAGATACATAAAAAGTGCGGATAAATTATTTCAAGTATACCATGATTATTAGAATTTTTGTTAGAATGTGGTGTCATAGTCATAAGCAAGTTACTGGTTTTATCAGTGCAAAGAATATAAATTTGGTCCTTTTTTTCAAAACTGATTAATAGGACAGTTTCAATAATTAATACATTGTACTTTGTTATCTTCTTAGTGGTTATCCATAATACAAGATGCAGACAGGATATCTTATTCAAACACTATTAATACAAATCTTTTTTCTCACTGAATTAAGTAAAAAGTAGCTGTATATCTATTCTAACTATTCTGTGTACATACATAGTTATTATATTCTGTATGTATACAGAATAGTTAGAATAGATATACAGCTACTTTTGAAGGTAGTGGAGGGAACTGGGTCCTTCCTTTGTATCCACTTTTTTATTCTTTTCTGCTAGATGGTTAAGACCAAGATAAAGCAAGACCTATATAATAAGAAATGCAACTTTTGTATCTGATAAAGTCAGTCAAGTGCCCTCAGGATTTATTCTGTAACCCTGTACCGCAGTTTGCAGATCCTTTGTCAGTGTCAGCCATATGTATGAGTCACAGCCATTGCTTGAAATTTGGTCCTTATTGAGCCATAAGTTTCATGGGAAATAGGAAGAAAATGCTCAAATGTGAAGTAGAACAAATTAAGATTGTAGGGGAAATAAAGGAAGGGGAAAGAACAGAGAAGGAGTAGAAGGCAAAATGGAAGTGATGCTTTATTAAATGAGGGTCAGGGAGTTGAAGGTAGTGGAGGGGACTGGGAAAAAAACAGAATCAGGATATGCCACATACAGGGACAAATGTCCTGTGATGAATGTGATCATTGCACACACTGAAACTGCAGAATAAAATGAACTGAAATAGAAAACTTTAAAAAATGAAAGAATGTTTATAAGAATTTTTAAAACGGTAAATTTATTCAGGTTGATAGTACACACATTTAATCCCAGCCACTTAGGAGGCCAATATGGGAGTATTGCAAGTTTATAGCTGGTCTGGGTACTTTATTAAGACTCTGTCTCAAAAAAAGAAATAAAAGGCTGGGAATGTAGTCCAGTTATTTAGCATCTGCCTAACTCACAATCACTTACTTGTACTCTTAGTAATTAGAAAATGTTATGTTTAATTTAAATAATTGAAAGCCCAGATTTTATATGTTACAATGTCCATGCACAGAATATGCACTCAAAGTAGTTGACTGAGTCCTAACTCCACCTTTAGACAGCTGTGTGACCTTGGGCCATTATGCAACCTCTTTGTGCCATGTTCTTTATATGAGAAATGAATGTGACATTTCTTCCTCCTTAGTATGGACATGCCAAGTTTACAACTTAAGAGAACTTCAAAACAGCACTTGGTTT